GTTTATTGTTTTGTCATTTTATGAGCACATAGTGTAGACTCAAGTAAACAAATCGTATCGCAACCACCGCAGGTGGGGAATACAAGATATAACATTTACATTATATATAAAATGTAGTATCATTCTAATCCAAAATTATCAAAATATAAAAGTATAAAACACAACATCAATTCAAGCAAAGTCCAGTACAGGTAACAGTGTCCAACATTTGTAGGGAATTACCAGATAGTGTGGACTTTGAGACAAGGACTCAGAGAAGTGACCTGAGCTGGTCGGTTCCAAAAGAAAAAAAGGGGGGGGGAGGCATATCAAGATAAGGGGAGAGGGGGAGAAGTACAGTGGTGAAGGACAGGTTTTAGAGGAAGGGGTAGAGGGAGGAGGGCAGAAAATAAGGAGGCTAAGTATAAGAGCCGAAGGGTAGAAAACATCGAGCTGTTAGAAAACATGGCTCCCACAATTTCCGAAATGGCTCCATCGCATTCCTTTGAATGGCAGTGAGTTTCTCAAAAAACATCACACGTGATACTCTAGACTTAACTTCACCAAAAGGGAGGTCAGGGGACTTCCAAGATTTCGCAATGACTCGCTTAGCCTCTGTGAGGATGATCATGATCAAGCGATGTTGGCGTGCCGTACACACCATGGGCTTTTTGTGTAGGAGAGCTTCCAGCGGGTCCTTGCGAAACGTCTTGCCTGTAACAGTGTATAACAGTTGATAAACCCTGTGCCAGAATCTCCACACTTTAGGGCAGGACCACCATATATGGAGGACCGAACCCTCCACCTGGCAACCCCTGAAAACAGTGTGGAGAGTGAGAAGGGATAGCTTTGGATATCCAGAGCGGGACTAAGTACCACCTAAAGAGCACCTTGTAGACCACTTCTACCCCTCTAATGTCCATGTGTTGACGTATGGCTTTGGCAAGTTGTTCTATAGCTAGCGCAAACAATAGGGGGGAAAGAGGGCAACCCTGTCTAGTCCCTCTAGTAATGGGAATGATCTGAGAGTGAAAACCCTGATACTGAACATAGGCGGAGGGTAGGGAATATAATGAGTCTATCAAACGCATAAATGAAGGCCCAAATCCCCATCTGGTGAGAGTATAGCGCAAGTAGTCCCACCCGACCAAGTCAAAAGCTTTGCTAATGCCTAGGGACAACAACATAGTCTGGAACTTCCGGTGTTGAGCTATATGTAATAGATGAGCTATCCTCCTTATGCTGTCTCCCGCCTGACGTCCCAGCATGAATCCCACTTGGTCTCTAGAGATCAGGCCCAAAAGTGGTGACTGGAGCCTCAGGGTCAGTATCTTAGTGAGCAGTTTCAGATCTATATTGATTAGGGAGATTGGGCGGTAGTTAGTCCAGGAGGTGTGATCTGTTGCAGGTTTAGGTATCATACAAATCGACGACAATAGTGAGTCCTGTCGCAAGTGACCCCCGTCACGCATTGCATTAAAGGAGGTGAGTAAGTGAGGAGCAAGGGTGGTCGCGAATTTCTTATAGTAAACTGCACTTAGTCCATCAGGATCCGGTCGTTTACCAAGTGGTAGTAATTTAATAACATTCAATACCTCCTCCAGTGTTATAGGAGCATCAATCAAGAGTCTGTCATCTTCCGATAGAAGAGGGAGGTTGAGGGTGGAAAAAAAGTCACTGATTTGCGTCTCATCTAAGGGGCCTGTGGCGCGGTATAAGTCACTCAAGTGTGCTCGGAACGTGTCTAGTATTTTAATGGGGTGGGCAGTCATTTGACCCCCACTGAGTTGAAGCCTAATAGGATCTCGTGTAGGATTAGCCTCCCGAAGCTTGTGTGCTAACATGGTGTCCGGTTTGTCACCCTTAATGTAGAATTTATGTTTGGTCCATGCC